TACCTCTGGGTTCTTTCTCCCAAAACCCAAACCCTAGTCTGATCATAAGAAAAACATCAGACAAATCCCAACTGAGGAATAGTCTATAGAATACATGACTAGTACTCAAAGCTGTTGAGATGATCAACAGCAAGTCTGAGAAACTGTCACAGCCAGGAGGAGCCTAAGGAGACAACTGAATGTCATGTGGTGTCTTGGATGGGATCCAAAAGAGCAGAAGGCCACTGGGTAAAAACTAAGGGGATCTAAACAACCTGTGGCCTTTAGTTAATAATAATGTATCAGTCTTGGTTCATTAATGATAACAAATGTACCACACTAATATAAGATGTTAATGGAGGAAATGTAAAATATTAATGGGAGAAATGTGTTGGGTATATGGGAATTCTTTGTATTATCTTTGCATTTTTTCTGCAAATCTAAAACTATCCTTTTTTTTTTTTAAGTTTATGTTTAAAACACCCTACAGGCCAGGTGTGGTGGCTCACGCCTGTAATCCCAGCACTTTGGGAGGCTGAGGTGGGTGGACCTCCTGAGGTCAGAAGTTCAAGACCAGCATGGCTAACATGACAAAACCCCGTCTCTACTAAAAATACAAAATCAGCCGGCTGTGGTGGTGTGCACCTGTAGTCCCAGCTATTCTGGAGGCTGAAGCAGGAGAATTGCTTGAACCCAGGAGGCAGAGGTTGCAGTGAGCTGAGATCACACCATTGCACTCTAGCATTGGCAACAAAAGCAAAACTCCATCTCAAAAACAAAAACAAACAAAAAAAACCTTACAGATACTGCCAGGCATGGTGGCTCACACTAGCACTTTGGGATCACCTGAGGTCAGCCTGGCCAACATGGTGAGACCCAGTCTCTACTAAAAATACAAAATTAACTGGGTGTGGTGGTGCACGCTTGTAATCCCAGCTACTCAGGAGGCAGAGGCAGGAGAATTGCTTGAACTTGGGAAGCAGAGGTTGTTTTCTTTTTGTTTGTTTGTATATTTGTTTTTTGAGACAGAGTCCCACTCTGTTGCCTAGGCTGGAGTGCAGTGGCGCGATCTCGGCTCACTGCAACCTCCGCCTCCCGGGTTCAGGGGATTCTCCTGCCTCAGCCTCCCGAGCAGATGGGACTACAGGCATGCACCAGCACGCCCAGCTAATTTTTGTATTTTTAGTAGAGACTGGGTTTCACCATATTGGCCAGGCTGGTCTCTAACTCCTGACCTCATGATCCACTCCCTGCCGCCCGCCTTGGCCTCCCAAAGTGCTGGGATTACAGGTGTGAGCCACCACACCTAGCCTTGGGAGGCAGAGGTTGTAGTGACCCGAGTTCATGCCACAGCACTCCAGCCTGAGCGACAGAATGAGACTCTGATTAAAAAAAAATAAAGTAAAATAAACCTTATAGATACTGACATTTGGGGAATCATTTAAAAAGCCAGCTTATCATCCAATCAACCTGCATAAAAACTGAAAAAGCATTAGGCCTATAAACAGAGCTCTGCATTAGCTTATTTCTTCACTTTTAAACATAGACACAGGCAAGGATCACTAGACACATGAGACAAGTTTCCAACAATAAAGGTAGAAACCAAACCAAGCTAGGAAAAAGAAAAAGAATGAGAATAATGTAAGAAACAGAAAAAAATTTTTAAATTACTTTATCTAGAGATACTATAGGTGGAGGTTTATTTTATTTATTTATTTTTTTTGAGACAGAGTCTAGCTCTGTCGCCCAGGCTGGAGTGCAGTGGCCGGATCTCAGCTCACTACAAGCTCCGCCTCCCAAGTTTACGCCATTCTCCTGCCTCAGCCTCCTGAATAGCTGGGACTACAGGCGCCCGCCACCTCGCCCGGCTAGTTTTTTGTATTTTTTAGTAGAGACGGGGTTTCACCGTGTTAGCCAGGATGGTCTCGATCTCCTGACCTTGTGATCTGCCCGTCTTGGCCTCCCAAAGTGCTGGGATTACAGGCTTGAGCCACCGCGCTCAGCCTATCTATTTTTTTTGAGACAGGGTCTGGTACTGTTGCCCAGGTTGGAGTGTAGTGGTACCTTCTCAGCTCACTGCAACCTCTGCCTCCTGGGCTCAAGTGATCCTCCCACCTTAGCCTCTCGGGTAGCTGGGACTACGGGCGCACACCAACATGCCTGGCTAATTTTTGCTTTTTTTGTAGAGACAGTGTTTTGCCGTGTTGCCCAGGCTGGTCTTGAACTTTTGAGCTCAAGCGATCTGTCTGCCTTGGCCTCCCAAAGTGTTGGGATTACAGGCGTGAGCCACTGCACCCAGCCAGGTTTATGTATTTTAAAGTTTTGAAACAGGGGAGGGAAATCTCAGCATGATTCCCTTATCCATTTGCCTGTCCCTTAGCAAACCTCTACTTTTCATTGCATCCTAATAGGTTTGAGTTAGACACACACAGAATGACTGCATCATAATTACAGACTCTCAGTTTTGAGTCATAAGAGACTCTGATTTGTGATAATAGTTTTATATATTTGTGATTTACAGTCACTTTTCAAGAGTTTCATTTTGCAGATTTATACTCTTCCACATATATAACATACAAAACATTACAAGTCACTGGATATTACTCTCGGTCATTTTCTAACCACATTTTATTAGATTACCAGGTCTGTATAGTGATAGTTTCTAAGCCTTAGTCCACATCCCATGTTTAAGTTCAGTGGAATCCATAATAATCCAAGGAGGGCTCTCAGGCAAGTACTTCAAAATCTGTGAGAAGACTGCAAGGATAGGAAAGGGCTTTCAGAAAGAGCAACATGACCATAGTGAAATGGGAATGAACACCTGGAATTCAGCTGGCCCTGAAGCCCACAAAGAAAGGTAAGTGACATGTCAAGCTTGTTGCAGAGAAGGAAGACTAGGCTGCTTTCTTGGTGACAATTTTAGGTACACTGAAGAGAACTCTCCAGGGCCACTCCAATTCTACTCTTCCTGTTTCGCTTCACATGCTGCCATCTTTTCTTTAGTCTCTTCTTACTACGGTGCCCTCTTTTCCCTCCAAGGGAAGGAGGACTGAAAGGGCAAACTATCACTATTTATAAATGCTCATTAGCTAAATGTTCAAGCAGCCCTTCCCTTACAGCACCTCCCACCCCCACCTCTCTTATTGGAGGCTTTAACTTTATTTAACTTATTTACTTATTTATTTAGAGACAGAGTCTCGCTCTGTTGTCCAGGCTGGAATGCAGTGGCATGATCACTGCTCACCGCAGCTTCCACCCCAGCCTCCCAAGTAGCTGTACTACTGGTGAACGCCACCACACCTGGCTAATTTTTAAAAATTTTTGTAGAGATGGGGTCTCACTGCGTTGCCCAAGCTGGTCTCAAACTCCTGGCCTCAAGCGATCTTCCTGCCTTGGTCTCCCAAAGTGCTGGGATTACAGGCATGAGCCACTGTGCCCAGCCACTTCCTTATTGAACATATTCAGGACTTTCCACTTGCCTTAGTTTTTAAGTGTCTCGCCTAAGTCTTTTCTCTGACTTACCAACTCTGGCCCCCAAACTGGAGAAAACAGGAGAGTTAACAGCACTATAAGTGATGTACCCCATCACTTAAATACAATGGGACCAAATCCCCTATTTGGTTCAGTTCATAGATATTTCTTGTAACCATCTGGACAAGCATGATTATGTCTGCTATGGTGTAAGTCACAGGGGTAAGCAAATTTTAGAAGCTGCAGTTGCCTCGTTGCAGAATATCAAGAGATAAGCCCTTCCAGGCATTTCACTAGTTTATCCATAAGCAAGGCAGATACAGATTGAGTGCCACCCACTTAGCCTTTATTTCCATGAAGGCAAAGGTCAGAATGAAGATTGTCATCTCAGTTAAATGTCACCTCTAAACTACCGAAGAAAAAAGCAGAGAGAGGTTGCTAATCTGGCTACGTTCCCTCACCCAATTTGAATCAAATCATATTTAATCCCTACTGTGATGTCAGCCTCAATTCAATAGTTGCTCAAGAAATTAGTTCAGTTGTCAGAATAATCTGAGAGCTCAATTCACAGCCCAGACTGGACCCAAACCTTCAGGTTCATTTATATAATAAAATGCTTCCTGTGTGCCAGGCCCTGTGCTAAATGGCACATGATCACATTTAACCTCCAAAACAACTCTAAGTGAGCGTACTGACCATTTTCTTCAAATGTGAGATCAAGCCCAGAGACGGCAAGGCTACTAAGCTGTGAGTGATAAGAAAAGGAACCACATCTGTCTAATTCCAAAGCTTCCACCTTTAAACCCCTTTTAGCTAGGTTTCTGAACAGGGTTGAAAACTTTGTTGGACAAGCATAGGCCACTATGCATCAGACTGGCCTTTGGACAAGGGAAGACCACCCTACCTAAAACAGCCCATCCCTGCCACCCAGCATCACTCTTTACTTATTCTACTTCTTTCTAGCAGTCTTCTCTAAAATTACACCCATTCATCTCACAAAGACTGATTTCTGCTATATTCCAGACACTGTGGATTCAGCAGTGAAACAGACTACAATCTCTGTCCTCATCGGCCTGACATGATTTGTTAACCTGTTCCTGTCTCTCCTACCAAATATGAGATCCATGAGGGTAGAACATTGCCAGTCTTGCTTACTGCATATTTCCAGCACCTAAATAGCCTCTGGTATATGGGTACAATAGACAGCAATGTTTGTCAAAGAATTCCATCCACGACATCCTCAGCATGGCATAGGAAGCTGGTCAAACGATTCACCAAAACGATTTTATTCCCATGCAGAGTTCCTTATGGTGCACTGTCTCAGTACTCTTCTACAAATGGCCATTATATAAAGATTTAAATTAAACCTCTATGATATCCTAGTATTTTCTAAATGTTGAAAAAAAAAACCAAAACAGTTTAGTCATCAAGAGTGATTTTTCTGTGCAAAAAAAAAAAAAACCCACACACACACCCCCCCCCCAACACCAAAAAACTCCCAGTACCAGATAGCCACAATACGAGAGCAGGGAGTAAATGCGTATGAGGAAAAAGGATTCAAAATAGATTTTTATTTGCAAAATTAAATTAAAAAAAAGAAAAAAAAAAAAAAAAAAAAAACCAGGAACAGAAAACTAGTCCGAATCAGGTTCCTTCTTCTTTCTTCTTGTCCCTTTTGGATGAGTCCCAGACTCCGTTCTTTCTTTGCTGCATTCAGTCTGTTGTGTCATCCACTCTTTTTCTAGCTGTTTCAGCATGTCTGGAGTGAGGAGTCCTTGCTGCACCAATCTGGAAGCAAGGGACAGCTCTCCTGCATTGGCGCTGGGTGGCTCAGTAGCTTTACTCCCTAGAGCTTTGGTGCCGCGTGTCCTTCTAGCTTGGCTCTTTAAGGTTCCTGACAATCGTGACTGGCTCACTGATGGAAAGCTCTCCAAATTCAACAGCTTATGCGTCTCAGACACTTTAATCAATTTAGTGATATTGTGCACACCATCTTGGATAATACCATCTAGTTCCTTCTGGAGATCTCGAATAAGGCTGGCATCTGGAAACATATCCATAAATCGGTAGCTGGGAAAAAGACACATTAGCATTATGGCAACAGCTCTTACTGCAGTCACTGGACTACTCTCAATGGCACACCTACATCTTGACATTGATTAATTCTAAATGTTCTTTTTGCAAACTCTCTTCAGTGCCTTTGCTCAACCTTTATTTCTGCCCCCACACATCCGAGGAATATGTCATCCTGAGGGAGGGTCAGCACTATACCTCAACAGACTCTTGATATACTCCTAGAGAGGGACATGCACCTCCTTTAAGAATCACTGGCCTAGAACAGGACTTCTCAAATGATAATGGACAAGTGAATCACCCAGGGATCTTGTTAAAATGCAGAATCTGATCAAGTCAGGGATGGGCCTGATACTCCTTAGTTCTAACAAGCTCCCAGGTGATACCAGTGCTTTTGGTCCAAGGACCATCCTTTGACCAGCAAGAGTCCAGTGGACCTTCCTTCTCACCCAGCCAACTTAACTAGAATTGTAATAACTCAAGTCATTTTTGGAATGGGTATAAACCATTCCATCAGTTGAACTGCCTTTATGGACAACAGACATAATATAGAGCATCTTGCAAATATGTCCATAATTTGAAATAGAAAAACAAATTCATAAAACCTTTAATTTGTCCTACTAGAAAAATGAGAGCACATAAAGGAAAAATGTTGGTACCTTAGCCACAGGTAAAGATCCAAGACATCGTGCACGGCTTCAAGATCCATGAGGTCTTTAATATTCCTAGGTGGAAGTAAAGGCCATTTGATGTATCGGCGTAACCATGCAAAGGTCAGGGGCTCATTCCTGCTATACTGCCTGGCAAACTGAGAGGGAAAGAGGAAAAGAGTTTCATAGAAGTGTCAGAATTCCCTTAAGTCTACAATTAGAAAGAGAAAAAATAAGGAAGCAAAACAAAAACATTAATTGTGGTTGTATTTCAATAGACAGGTGGTTTCTTTTCTCCTTTGTACTTTTCTCCTTTGTTAAGAACATTTAATACTTTATAAGGCCAGGTACAGTGGCTCACATCTATAATCCCAGCACTCTGGGAGGCTGAAGCAGGTAGATCACTTGAGCCCAGGAGTTCGAGACTAGCTGGGGCAACATGGAGAAACCCCATCTCTATAAAAAACACAAAGAATTAGCTGGGCATGGTGGTGTGTGCCTGTGATTCCATCTACTCCTCAGGAAGCTGAGGTGGAGGATTACTGAGCCCGGGGAGGTCAAGGCTGCAGTGAGCCATGATCTAGCCACTGCACTCCAGCAGCGTGAGACCATCTGGAGAAAGAAAAAAAAAAAAAAAAAGAAGATGATTGCCTTCTTTTTCTAAAACCAGGGTAATAATACGTGCAGCAGAAGTTCAAGGGCTACTCTGGGCACACAACCTATAGAGTATCCCTGCTTCACAAGGAGCAGTTTAAAAAAAAAAAAAAAAGAAGAGCTGTAGAAGGACTAACTTTCCAGGGCCTGTCTGTTAACTCTTATTTAGGAATATGTGATGTTCTAAGCTATGGACAGACAGTACCTGAAGACTCCTATTTCTATCTCATTATGTAATAGTCCTATAACCTCAAATATGAGCTTAAGTTTATCTTGTTAATGTTCTCCCTTATTATATAGAATCCCTCTGAGGTGGCCTGGTGCAAGGCTGGTCGGAAGTCAATCTTGGCTCTGCCTCCTGCGAGCTGTGTGGCTTTGGCCAAGTCACCACTCTGTGCTTCAGCTTCCTCACTGGTAACATGAGACACCACAGCCCTGTCTTGAACCACAAGACACTGCTGGGGAATGTGCTTTGAAAACCATGTTGCATTCCAGACATTAGGCAATATTATACATCACCTGTACTACAGAAGATAGACATACAACCACACAGTAAGACCCCTCAAGCAAGAGTTTACATAAAATCTTCAGCTTCAAGATTCAAGCTGATTTCAAATGATTCATTTCCTAATTAGGGGAAATTATCTCTAAATGCTTAACCTAAACAAGGTCAATACTTCAGAGAGGAAGAGTAGTTTTAGATCAACTGTGTTTAAATAATGCCACAATTGTGTTAAATTCAGTCTGGTCCACTCTGCTAAGTTTAATAAATGCCAAGTAGGATAGCCATAAAAGACAGAAATGTGACCACACTGCCTGCCAGGCAGGACAGGCCAAGCATGAGTTCTCAAGTTATCTTATAAAGGCAGTAGCTCTATTTTTTTTTGGCCACAGACAACTAATGGAAGCCCAATACATAAAAGAGCTAAGTAAGGAGTTATGCAGAGAGGGCAGGGAGAGATGCCCGCCCGCCCGCCCATCCATCCATCTATCCATCCATCCGTCCATCCATCCGTCCGTCCATCCATCCATCCATCCAGCAGCTGGCCCTAAAGGAGCTCCATGGAGCACAGCTTCCAAATCACAGTCCTAAGGGGCATGGTAAGTCATCAGTGTGATTGAGCTCTTTCATAGTTCAGTAATGACAAAGATCAAGAAAAAAGGAAAAGCCTCTAGATTTCATATTCTAATTTTCAAACAGAAAACACATGGAGCGGCCAGGCAAGGTGGCTCACGCCTATAATCCTAGCACTTTGGGAGGCCAAGGTGGGTGGATTACTTGAGGTCAGGAGTTTGAGAACAGCCTGGCCAACATGGTGAAACCCCATCTCTACTAAAAATACAAAAAATTAGCCAGGCGTGGTGGCGGGCACCTGTAATCCCAGCTACTTGGGAGGCTGAGACAGGAGAATCACTTGAACCTGGGAGGCGGAGGTTGCAGTGAGCCAAGTTCATGCCACTGCACTCCAGCTGGGGCAACAGAGGGAGACTTCATCTCAAAAAGAAAACACACAGCGCATCATGGCGCACACCTGTAGTCCTAGCTACTCAGGAGGCTGAGGTGGAAGGATCGCCTGAGCCCAGGAGTTTGAGGTTACAGTGAGCTATGATTGCGCCACTGCACTGCAGCCTGGGCAACACAGCGAGACCTTAAGAAAACAAGCAACTGTTGACCTGCACGTTCCAGAGACTCCCTACACTTTAGTATAAAGAGCTTCTATTCACTAGAATAGCTCTTTAAAGGATGGTGTGAATGGGGCCAAGGCCATGGGACTGAGTTCCACTCAGGTCAGTTTACAGCAGTTTAAGATTGTTCCATAAACTTCAACCTTATGCTAGCTAAGTTTTTCACAAATGCCAGCTCTAAGAAATATATTTTCTAGGTAAACATCTAGACATGGAAGGTCTCTAACACATATTGTTAAGAGAAAAAGAAAAGGCAAGTTTTGAGTAATTCATTAAGATAACGTTGATGGGGCTGGGCACAATGGCTCATGCCTGTAATCCTAGCACTTTGGGAGGCTGAGGCGGGTGGACTGCTTGAGCTCAGGAGTTCGTGACCAGCCTGGGGAACATGGCAAAACCCTGCCTCTACAAAATATAAAAAAATTAGCCAGGCATGGCACGTGCCTGTAAGCCCAGATACTCAGGAGTCTGAGGCACAAGAATCGCTTGAATCCAGGAGGCAGAGGTTGCAGTGAGCTGAGATGGCACCACTGCACTCCAGCCTGAGCGACAGAGTGAGACTCTGTCTCAAAACACAAAAGATAATTTTTTACAGGGAAACGGACCCTCACAAATCTAGTGTTTCCATATGAACATGCATGTAGGCAAACGCAGTGAAAAACAGTCTGCAAAGATACACACAAACTTACACAAGTAGTTATTTCAGAGGACTAAGATTGGGAGGGAGCCACATTTAAGCTATCTGTAATGTTTTCATTTTGTATAAAGAGAATGTATGTATTATTTATGTAATTTTTTTTTTTAAAGGACAGAGTCTTGCTATGTTGCTGGAGATGTTCTCGAACTCTTAGGCTTAAGCAGAGTTGGCCTTCCTGCCTTGGCCTCCCAAAGTGCTGGGATTACAGGCATAAGCCACAGCACTGGACTATTTACATTATTTAAAAAATAAGTTTAGAGATAGATTTGATTAGAATATAGTTCGTATGCAGAATGCTCAGGCCTACAGAGGAAATGGCAATGAACCTCAGTGAGTCAGGACAAGATTCAGAGAAGGGGAGGCCTTTGGGTTTAGTGGGGTGGGGAGAGCATGCAAAGCAGAGGAAATAGGGCGGGCAAGGTCCCAGAGAGGTGAGAGAACAGCAAGTCGGGGCAGGAAGTTCAGTGTCCACTGTCCTTCCTGGCCCCCAGGAATCCTGTGCTTCTCAGAAGTCAGAGATTTGCATCCCTGCCCAAATGAGTAAAAAGGGGCTAGAACCCTGGCATGGTGCTCATACAAGACAGTAACTCCTGGCTCAGTGCTTTACACTTAAGAAAACTGAACATGGCTGGGCGCGGTGGCTCAAGCCTGTAATCCCAGCACTTTGGGAGGCCGAGACGGGCGGATCACGAGGTCAGGAGATCAAGACCATCCTGGCTAACACGGTGAAACCCCGTCTCTACTAAAAAAAATACAAAAAACTAGCCAGGCGAGGTGGCGGACGCCTGTAGTCCCAGCTACTCGGGAGGCTGAGGCAGGAGAATGGCGTGAACCCAGGAGGCGGAGCTTGCAGTGAGCTGAGAGCCGGCCACTGCACTCCAGCCTGGGCGACAGAGCGAGACTCCGTCTCAAAAAAAAAAAAAAAAGAAAACTGAACACTATTGCTACTATTAATCCCTATTTAAGTTTTTACAAAGTCTCTCATATTACAGAGTACTCTTCTAATTGTTTTATGTTGAATAACAAAGTACTGTTTGGGGAAACTGTATGAACCTGAAGGAACTCAAAATATCTTAAAGATAAAGGCTTACCTGTAACAGTGAAGAGCACACAAAAGGCTGCTTCTTGTTGATAGGGGCCGTGCAGAAAATATACCTCACTCGCAGACTTAATGGAATATGCTGGATCAACTCTGCAGAAAATTTAAAATCATCCATATTGCAGACAAAATACTGCCCATCAACTTGTGAAAAGTCTACAAAAATATCCTGGGGAAAAAAGACATGAAATTACTGGACTGCCTAAGTCAATTAAAATGAACAATGAATAACACTCAAGCCTATAAAAGGCAATCTCTTTAATCCAGAACAAACTTCCATAAAGGCTTGCTTTAATCGCTCCCTCGTATCCTTCCCCACCTGAAATACTGAGAGGAAATTCCTCAAGACTAAAGTCCCAAAAGATTTTGAGAAAAAGTTTTCGCTTGTAAAATAAATTTTATAAATAGCAACTTCTCAAAGGCAGACTATCCATTCATGCTCATGAGGTTAAGCAGTAATCACTTGACATATCAACATTTTTAGAAGAGATTCGAAAGGGAGTTTCCACTTACAATGAGATTGGAAAGTGTTGCATCAGGGAGATGGTAGGCAAACATTTCAATCTGCTCAGCAGTTGGATGAAGACCAGCTGCCTTTTAGTAAAAGAAAAAACAATCATAAGCTGATTTAAAAAAAAAAAAAAAACGACAAATTTTCTTAAGTTATTGCATGATAAAGTCCTATTCAGGCTAAGCCTCACCAAATAAATACATTCAAGCTAAACTCTCACCAAATGAAGTAAATGCCAAGAGTTTGAGTAAAAGAAAATATATCATTTTACCATTTATTACCAATTAGAAAAGCTGATGAGATGATTTAGTAAAAATGAAAGATTATGGCTACTGAGAAATTATCTTTTGCTTACATTTTAGTCATATTTCTAAAACCTATGATGATCTGACAGCGTATAAAAAACGATTTTATGGGCCGGGCGCGGTGGCTCACGCCTGTAATCCCAGCACTTTGGGAGGCCGAGGTGGGCAGATCACGAGGTCAGGAGATCAAGACCATCCTGCCCAACATAGTGAAATCCCGTCTCTATTAAAAATGCAAAAATTAGCTGGGCGTGGTGGCGGGCGCCTGTAATCCCAGCTACTCTGGAGGCTGAGGCACGAGAATCGCTTGAACCCAGCAGGTGGCGCTTGCAGTGAGCCGAGATCGCGCCACTGCACTCCAGCCTGGCAACAGAGCAAGACTCCGTCTCAAAAAGCGAAAAAAAAAAAAAAAAAAAAATTTTATGGCCAGGTGGTGTGGCTCATGCCTCTAATCCCAACACTTTGGGAGGCCAAGGTGGGAGGATCACTTGAGGACAGTAGTTCAAGATCAGCCTGGGCAACATAAGGAGATCCCATCTCTACAAAATTTATTTTAAAAATTAGCCTGGCCGGGCGCGGTGGCTCAAGCCTGTAATCCCAGCACTTTGGGAGGCCGAGACGGGCAGATCACGAGGTCAGGAGTTCGAGACCATCCTGGCTAACACGGTGAAACCCCGTCTCTACTAAAAAATACAAAAAACTAGCCGGGCGAGGTGGCGGGCACCTGTAGTCCCGGCTACTCGGGAGGCTGAGGCAGGAGAATGGCGTAAAAACCCGGGAGGCAGAGCTTGCAGTGAGCTGAGATCCGGCCACTGCACTCCAGCCTGGGTGACAGAGCGAGACTCCGTCTCAAAAAAAAAAAAAAAAAAAAAAAAAAAAAATTAGCCAAGCATGGTGGTGAGCACCTAAAGTCCCAGCTGCTCAAGAGGCTGAGGTGTGAGGATCTCCTGAGCTCAGGAGATTGAGGTTACAGTGGGCTATGATCATGCTACGGCACTGAAGCCTGAGTAACAGAGTGAAACACTATCTCAAAAAAAAAAAGGAAAGAAAAATCTGTTTTCCAGGGTAAAACTATTTTCCATGTCTCAATTCTCCTCACTGAATTAAAATGAATAAGAAAAACCCAGTCACTTTAACTAAGGCCATAAAACTAACATACATACACACATCTAGAAAGACATGAGAGCATTTTTGAACTGGAAGTGAGTTCTCTTCACTGCACATTACAGTGCTTAGACACGGCCACAGGTAAGTATAAGGAATGGAGTATGAAACAGAGAGAGAGAAAGTGAATGAAAAAGACAAAGAGGAAAAGAGGCAAGAGAGATTAGTCATGAGGGAAGAAGAGTTCAAGACATGAGGTGCCCAGGAGGGAGGCAGGGAGGTCACGGGAGCCACCCACGAACCTAACTGTACTGCTAAGAAGTTACAGAAATGATTCTAGCACAGCCTTCCCCCGAAGTTTCTCCCTGCATGATCTCATGTCTATATTCCCCTTCATCTAATGTCACGGACAAATGAGATAAGCCATGTAAGTGAATTTTCCAGGCAACTTTAAATTTTAACTATTAATAGAAAGTTTGTTTCAAATATGTACAATTGTAACTCATTAACTAATATTAACCAAAATTTAACCACCTCCTCACTGGATGAAGTTGTATTGTTTAGGGCTGTTTTTGCCCCATACTCAAGGGTTTCGTCTGTATTCAGGCTTCTGGTCATTTTTCAGTCCACTAATGTAGCTCTGTGTGCTCAGCTGAAGCAACTGCTTTCCTCCCTGTTCCTTCCCGCTGCTAGATTCCAGAAGGAACTAAAGGCAAATCAGGCTCACTAAACTTTGTCAATCTGGACCTTCACTTGCATACCATTCTCTGATCAAAGGATCTCCATGGCTCTCCAAAGCAATAAAGTAGGGCTTTTTTAAATGCAGTTTTCATGGCACAAAACTTTCTTTCACTTATGTCTGTATCCAGAAATGTGTCTGAGACGAGAGTCTGGATGGTGGGTGAGGGAAAGAATGACTGTCCTCCACAGAGAAGTAGTAATTAACATGTTACACCTTACCGTTATAGGATCCACAGGCCTCTTCAAAATTTCCTTTAATAAACTGAGATCTTCGTGATTCATGGTTGTAACCTCTCCTTCTTTAAATTGCGAGCTGAATCTGCCAGCTCTGCCAGCAATCTGCAGGGCTTGAGAGGTGGTGATTGGTTCCAGTTCTTTCTCTCCCTTTTCATTGATACTGGGCTTTATAAGGGAGTAAAAAATAATTCTCCTTATGCTCCTGAAACAGAAATAAAAGTGATCCTGCAGACTGTATGAAAAACTCTCCAATACTTGGGTCACTGCATAATGCTCACTCCAATACTAGCTTAGGTCCTCGTGCAACCTTGACTGCCACTTAAAAAATTAAGGAACGTCTGGCACAGTGGCTCGCATCCATAATCCCAGCACTTTGGGAGGCTGGGGCAGGAGGATTGTTTTGAGGCGAGGAGTTCAAAACCAGCCTGGGCAACATAGCAAGACCCAAGTCTCTACAAAAAATTAAAAACATCAGCTGGGTACGTTGGTGTGTGCCTGTAGCTCTAGTACTTGGGTGGTTGAGGCAGGAGGACTGCTTGAGCCCAGGAGTTTGAAGCTGCAGTGAGCCATGATCATACCACCGTACTCCAGCATGGGGCACAGAGTGAGACTGTCTCAAAAATAAATAAATACATAAATAATATTTAGGCTTAACATTGTTTTCATTTAGAGATAATAACTAGCCCCACATGCATACTAGGCACTTGGACACCTGACTGAAAAACTGAAAATAAAGTGACATAGTATGATAGGTTAGCAGTAGTGGAGGGCAGCACTCAAACATCCTAGTGTGGGCCGAGTGTAGTGGCTCATGCCTGCAATCCTAGCACTTTGGGAGGCTGAGGTGAGAAGATCACTGGAGGCCAGGAGTTAGAGACTAGCTTGGGCAACAAAAAAATAAAAAATTAATCAGGCTTTGTGGTGTGTGCCTGTGGTCCCAGCTACTCTGGAGGTTGAGGCAGGAGGATCGCTAGGGCCCAGGAGTTCAAAACTGCACTGAGCTACAATTGGATCACTGCACTCCAGCGTGGGTAACAGAGCAAGACCCTGTCCCTAAAAAAAGTCCTGGCACTATTTAATATTTTCTTTTTATGGATAAATCTCAAATCTAGCCTATAATATTTATTCTCCCAAATCAAAGTGTTTGGTCATTAATGCCAATTAGAAAATTGAAAAACAAAAAACCACCATTCAACTCACTGAATATTCATGTTTATTAAAAACAAATTACTTACAAATTAAGTCCCATGCCAATTGCATCTGTAGCAACCAAGATTTTGCATGGGTCATTGGGATCATTAAACTTTTTTGCTTGAGCAAGTTTGGTCCCTAAAACAAGAACAATTTATGTTAAATCAGTGTTCTCAGTGTTTTATTACATCGAGCTAAGTACATCTTGGAAACCCTCACTCGTGTTCTTCCCATTTTTAATGATAAAACCTTTACTGTTTCAAACTTTATTTCTTTATATCCTCAAGGAGCTACTTATCCTTTACATCCATTCCTTCAAATACTCCGTCATATAGCAACACAATCCCCCACCACACTAGACTTATTCCTGAGGACACAGATTTCAGGACTACAACTTAAAAGGACATGGTCAAGTCCAGATTTCAATGACATTTCTGTAAGAAAATATTAGTAAACTCAACATTTAAGATACGGTCTAATAATAGCAGCAACTAACAAGAACTATAATGAAAATACTTCTATTTCCACTAAATGAAACAGAAAATTATTTATTTTATATGATGTTTAACAAATTACCAATACAATCAAGCAGCTTAATTCAATATTGTTTACTATGTTTTTTATACATATCTCAACATAAATTGCAAATATAGGAGATTTCATATCTTGTCATGATGAAAGTCAATAATTACCAGGTGGGAGACTGCCATATATAACAGCTGATTCTAATCCCCGAATTTCAATCTGCCGACTCACAGAATAAATATCATTCTTGCTAAAACAGACAATGCAGTCCCCAGGCCGAAGGTTATCTAAAGATTCTAGTGCGTGGTCCAGCACGGAAATGGGGGTAAGCCTCTTATAGTCTCGAACCTACAATAAAGACATGAATGGCAAAGTGACACACCCAACTCAACTTCTTGTGACTAGTAATTAAGTGAAAAGTTTGCAATGCAGTTAAGTTAAAAACTGGTAAGTACCAATTTTTTTCAAAAGAAAACACAGAAAAACATTTATTTTGTTATTTTAAGTGTTACCATCACTTCTCATTGGCATCTCTAAAGTAATAAGATGAAACACAGTGTTTCATACATTTTCAAAGCTTTTTCTCATATATTTCATTTTCATGGCAATGTGTTAAGTTCAGAAAGGTTATTAACTGCTATTTCCATTTTATAAAACAGTAAAACTGAGCCCAATAAAAAATTAACATCTGAGGCACATTTTGCAAGTCTCACCTGTGACTTGTCTAAAGAATGCAAAGCTCACTTTGGGAGGCCGAGACAGGCAGATCATAAGGTCAGGAGATCAAGATCATCCCGGCTAACACAGTGAAACCCCGTCTCCATTAAAAATACAGAAAAATTAGCCGGGCATAGTGGCAGGTGCCTGTAGTGCCAGCTACTCAGGAGGCTGAGGGAGGAGGATGGCGTGAACCCGGGAGGCGGAGCTTACAGTGAGCGGAGATCGCGCCACTGCACACCAGCCTGGGAAACTGAAACTCCGTCTCAGAAAAAAAAAAAAAAAAGAAAAAGAAAGAAAGAATGCAAAGCTAAGAATGGCAAAACACAGAATGGACTCCAAAATTTCTTCTACTATATTCCACTATATCTCCTTGAAAACTGAGCAAAAAACTAAAATAACAGGCGAATTCAAAACTATTTCCTTGGTTTATGCTTATAATCCCAGCACTTTGGGAGGCCAAGGTAGGAGAACTGCTTGAGCACTGGAGTTCGAGACCAGCCTTGGTAACATAGTGAGATGCCCTCTGCACAAAAAAATAAAAAATTAGACGGGCGTGGTGGCAAACAAACACCTGTAGTCCCAGCTATTTGGGAGGCTGAAGTGGGAGGATCACTTGAGTCCAGAAGGCTGAGGCCGCAGTGAGTTGTGACTGCACCACAGCACTCCAGCCTGGGTAACAGAGTGAGACCTTGTTTCAAATAATAATAATAATAATAATACTTCATTTTATCATAGAACTCTGGTAAAGAAAAAGAGAAGAAAGATTAAAAGGAAACCAGTTACTTCCAACTCTAAGAATCTGAAAAAGGAATATAAACTGTGTCTGGCAATTAGATGTGTATCAAAGGCCCCAATATCTGACATACAAGACTTTGAAAATGACGAACTTGGTGGGTCTCAAACTTCTAAGAATACTGATTTATTTAATTTGAAGAGATCTACTCAAGCCCCAGAAGGTTTTGTCAAGAAGTGAAGAATTTCCTGTACTCTTGGAAGACTTAGGGTATGATGACCACTCTGTCAGAACTTCAGATCATGAGGTTCAATCAAATATATATGATCTAGTTGATCACAAGAAAATGAAGCTTTCTTTTTAGTTAAGTTCTGACATTGGCATTATCTAGGGCCTCTGAAGCCACTACCTAGGTACTCTGGACTATTTGATATGCCACCTGGAGACCAAAGCATCTAATCGAATACCTCCACTTCCTCCCCCGTTGTGTACATAAGCTCCATCACCAGGTCAATAGCAGCAGGTTCTCCACACAAATGAACTTCTTCAGCACAGAGTCCTGTCAATGCAAAACTGGGTTTCTTAATTTTAAAGATTTATAATTAAATATGCAACATTTTACATAGCTAAAGTACTTTACGTTGGCTTACATATTGCTTTACAACCTTACCAAGTATTTTCAAAAATATTATCTCTGATGCAAACCTCGAAATAACCACCCACTTCTAGTGGGCCAAGATTATCCAATTTTTATTAATCTCAGGCCTTTTAAATTGCTTTGGCCAAGGTTTCAACTCTAGCAGAGTGAAACCAGCCAAGATTACAAGCTGGCATTTGGATGCTTAGTACTGAACATAGGTCCTATACTTGTGTTTTTCAAATTAGGATCCATGGAATCGCTGAGGTACCTCAGAGGTTGGGGGTTGGAGGGCAGAAGAAACTCCAGGCTCCTTATCCCTGAGCAGATACACTTCCATCTACTTTACATAACAGGTTTCAATGTATATTCTTTGTTTAAAAAAAGAGTTCAGCTTTTTTTTTTTTCCTTTCATGAGACAGAGTCTTGCTTTGTCGCCTAGGCTGGAGTGCAGTGGTATGATCTTGGTTCACCGTGGTTCACTGCAACATCTCCTTTCCAGGCTCAAGTGATTCTTGTGCCTCAGCCTCTGAAGCAGCTGGGATTACAGGCATGCGCCACCATGCCTGGTTAATTTTTATATTTTTAGTAGAGATGGGGTTTCGCCATGTTGGCCAAGCTGGTCTTGAATTCCTTGCCTCAAGCAATCTGCCCACCTCGGCCTCCCAAAGTGTGGGATTACAGACCTGAGCCACCGCACCCAGCCACGTTCAGCTATTTTTTTTTAAATTTGAAAACACCTGCCCTAAAACATGATCAAAAATTCACTCCAACATCGAGTAGCAGAAATTTTCATTTATGTCTATGGACCTCAAGAACTCCACTTACAGGAGGCTATTCTAAAGAAATAATTTTAAAAAAAGAAAATAATCTGGGTGAAGTGGCTCATGCCTATAATCCCAGCATCTGGGGAGGCTGTGGGAAGAGTGTTTGAGCCCAGGAGTTCAAGACCAGCCTGGGAAACATAGGGAGACTCTGTCTTTACAAAAAATTTAAAAATTAACCAGGGGCACGTTGGCAAACAGCTGTCATTCCAGCTACTCGGGAGACTGAGATGGGAGGACTGCTTGAGCCCAGGAGGTCAAGGTTGCAGTAAGCCACAACTGTGCCACCACACTCCAACCTGGGCATCAGAGCAAGACCCTGTCTCAAAAAATAAAAAGCTTTGGCCACAAAGATTTTTACTGCAGCCTTATTAGTAATAGGGAAAAAAAGGTCCAACTCTATGGAGCAAATTACGGTATTGCCCTTCAACAGAGATATGTGATCATATTAATATGTAATATGAAAAATATCACATGAAAAACAGAACTGAACAAAAGCAAGATACAAAATTAGATGTTCTCAAAACACCATATGCACATACAAAAAAAAAAAAAAGACTAGCATGAAACACACCAAAACATAAATTGTAGTTGTGTAAATATGAGATTTTAACATTTTAACTTTAATTACATGGTTATGCTAGTTTTAGCACAGGAAAAAATGGATTTCCCATTATTAAAATAATATTTAGAAAATAAAAACTAATACTTAGTTGACTTTTTTGTGTCAAATGAAAGGTTCTAGGTGACTCTATTTGGCAATGGCAAGCAGATAAAAATGCATCTCAGTGCAGATGTCATGAAGTTCGGGTTTTATAGCATTACCACCACCAACCTAGAAGTGCTCTGGTCCAGGCCCATCCTCTGGCTGGATCTCTAATCATTTGAATTTCATCAATTACAGCCACTTCATCTGAAAATTAAAAAGTTAATGTGAGCAATAACATCTACTTAAATAGTATTATAAACAAATTCCAATACCAAAATTCAAGCATCACCATCGCCACCACCACCATCACCACCACTTACTGGGTTCTTTGTTCTAAGTGTTTTGGCAGGTTTGTTCTAAGTGTTTTAGTGTTTTACCTCCTCTTAAGTACCTCCTCCTTAATCCTCACAACAAATCTATGAGGTTAAGTATTATCACTATCTCCATTTGACAGAAAAGTCAGAGGCCCAGAGAAATTAAGTTACTTGCCTTAAGTTATACAGTAAGTAAGTGTAGAGATGAAATTCAAACCCAGGCCATCTAGCTCCAAAGTCTATACTCTTTTTTTTTTTCTTTTTAATTTAGATACAGGGTCTCACTGTTGCTCAGGATGGCCTTGAACTCCTGGGTTGAAAGTGATCTTCCTAACAGTGCCTCACTCTGTCACACAGGCTGAGTCCAGTGACACAATCATAGCTCACTGTAACTTCGAACTCCTAAGCTCAAGCAATCCTCCTGCCTCAGCTTCCAAGTAGCTGGGACTACAGGCACGCAGCACCATGACCAGCTAATTTTAAAAACATTTTCTTGGGAGGCCGAGGCAGGCAGATCACAAGGTCAGGAGATTGAGACCATCCTGGCCAACATGGTGAAACCCTGTCTCTACTAAAGATACAAAAATTAGCCGGGCGTGGTAGTGTGCGCCTGTAGTCCCAGCTACTCTGGTGGCTGAGGCAGGAGAATCACTTGAACCTGGGAGGCAGAGGCTGCAGTGAGCCACGATTGCACTACTGCATTCCAGCCTGAGCAACAGAGCAAGACTCTGGCTCAAAAAAAAAATTTTTTTTTTCTTTAGAGATGGGGGTCTTGCTATGTTTCAGGCTGGCCTCGAACTTAAGTGATCCTCCCATCTCAATCTCTTAAGTAGCCAGAATTAACAGGCACAAGTCACCACACCCAGCTCCAAGTCTATACTCTTACATACTCTACCACACTGCCTCCCAAACTGAGCAGTTCCACTTGTCCTATTTTTTGCAATCTAAGAGACAGCCTGAGGAATTTGCCTGATGAGAGCTATCACATCTAGACAGAAGTAAAAGAAGGAGGCAAGCTGCAGAACAAGGAGATGACAGCCCTTCATTTACTAATGAAGCATCTCTACAACAGGAAACCAGGCAGCTCTCAGGAGTAGAAAGTAAAGTAGAAGGAATAATTCCTTGGGCCTCAGCCATGCTTATTCTTAGGGGTTTTAAATCTATCACTATGGCAAAGAGTAGTGTCTCATTTTATTTTCTAAAGCTAAAATGCTTCCAAATATATTATTCCAATCCCTGTAATTAATATATTATATTTTTACTTTCTTCTCCAAATACCACAGAATTGAAAAGAGAACATTTAAAAATACAATTAATATACTTACAATGATACTTAGAAACGTAAAGAAAGCTAACTCTATATTGAAAAATCATCAGATTAAAAATTACTTATTGAGGCTGGACATGATGGCTCATGCCTGTAATCCCAGCACTTTGGGAGGCTGAGGCGAGGTGGATTGCTTGAGCCCGGGAGTTCGAGGCCAACCTGGGCAACGAAGTAAGACCTCTTCTCTACAAAAAAAAAATTTTTTAAATGAGGCGGGAGAATTGTTTGAGCCCAGGAGGTCGCGACTGCAATGAGCCGTGATCGTGCCACTGCACTCACACCTGGACGACAGGAGTGAGACCCTGTCTCAAAAAAATAAAAAAAGTACTTAGTGATCTGGATATGTACAAACAAGACTAGAAGAGAGGACACAGAGAAGAAATTCTGATTTATAAACTTCTGTGCTATTGTACAATATATTACTTTATAATCTATTGATTTTTTAAAAACTATTCATCTCATGAAGTTGATTATTAAAATGAAAAAAAGCAAGCAACCAAATAGTAAAGCACCTTCCTATTTGTTTAATATATACACCCACCATGCACACATAACTACATGCATACACAACATGAACACAGATATTGACAAAGTCTGGAAAATATATACCAGAGGGTTATTTAACACTTGTTGATTCCAGATAAATGGGATTGGGAAATTATGTATGTTTGTTTTCTTCTCTTTGCTTGCTTACATTTTTATATTTTCAATAACGAAGACATGATTGCTTACATAATAAGGAAAAAGTTAATTTTCACTTAAATGTTAAGGCCAGGCACGATGGGTTATACCTGTAATCCCACTGCTTTGGGAGGCCTAGGTGGGAGGAACACATGAGGCCAGGAGTTACAGACCTGTCTGGGCAACACATTAAGAACCCATCTCCACAAAAAATTTATTAATAAAAAATTAGCTGGGTGTGGTGGCTCACACCTGTAGTTGTAGCTACTCGGGAGGCTAAGGCAAAAGGATTGCTTGAGCCCAGGAGGTCGAGGCTGCAGTAAGCCATGACTGCGCCATTGCACTTCAGCCTGGGTGACACAGTGAGACCCTGACTCAAAAACAAAACAAAACAACTTTAAATAGAAGCTCATTGTGGCAGTGCACATAACAGGAAAAAATTTTAAACAACCTAAATATCCTTTAACAAACGGGTAACAAATAATTTGTCCTAAGATGCAATACTATAAGACAGTTTAAATGAAGTAACTACAAATATGTAGCTATAGATACTTCAACAAGACTAGATAGATCTAAACACATTTGTGGAGTAAACAAGCAAGTGGGATAACAATAATAACATAATCACATAAATGTTTTAAAACACAACAATCTAGAATATTGACAAATAATACATATCAGTGATATAATATATATCCTGAAAATATCTGTTAACAGTTAGAACAAAAGAGGAGAGAGGAATTAAACTGGAGAGTGGTATAAAGGAAATTTCAGTTACACATATTAACATTTTAGCTCTTTTCAAAGAAAAAGGGCAAGAACTTCAGGTGCAAGCATTTGTCAGTGGTGGCAGGATCGCACGTTTGTCATACTTATTCTCTTCTTTTTCTAGATTTTAAAATTTTTTCTTCACACACAAAAAATCATATTCCACATGTTCAAGTGTATTTTAAAATTAAAAATACCACAGCCAGGCGCAGTGGCTCACGCCTGTAATCCCAGTACTTTGGGAGGCTGAGGTGGGCAGATCCCTGAGGTCAGGAGTTCGAGACCAGCCTGACCAACATGCAGAAACCCTGTCTCTAGCAAAAATACAAAAATTAGCCAGGCATGGTGGTAGGCGCCTATAATCCCAGCTACTTGGGAGGCTGAGGCAGGAGAATTGTTTGAACTGGGGAGGCAGAGGTTGCAGTGAGCCGAGATAGTACCATTGCACTCCAGCCTGGGTGACAGAGCAAGACTCTGTCTCGGAAAAAAAAAAAAAAAGAATTAAAAATACCAAACCAGTTTCTTAAATGGCATATACATACAAGGAGTTGTAACACTGCACATCTCAACTGTACAAGAAACATGTGAAGCCTGTTTCCCATCTGGGTGAACTGTCACACGCTCTTCACCTGTCACCAAGTCACATGGCACACCCTAGAAAGACAGAAAAAAACTAGAATTATTGAAAATAATGGCAAAAATATGTTTTGGATATTTAACAGTGTGTTCTCTCTACTACCACCAAATTAATTTGTTTCACAGTTAAAACAAAATGTTCCCATGGCCGGACACGGTGGCTCATGACTGTAATCCCAGCACTTTGGGAGGCTGAGGTGGGCGGATCACAAGGTCAAGAGATTGAGACCATCCTGGCCAACATGATGAAACCCCGTCTCTACTAAAAATACAAAAATTAGCTGGGAGTGGTGGTGTGCGTCTGTAGTCCGAGCTACTCAGAAGGCTGAGGCAGGAGAATCACTTGAACCGGGAGATGGAGGTTGCAGTGAGCTGAGATCGTGCCACTGCACTCCAGCCTGGAGACAGAGCAAGACTCTGTCTCAAAAAAAAAAAAAAAAAAAATTCCCAATGCTTTTTTCCCTTTTATAAAAAACAAAGTAAAATAAGAGCCACTCTCTTACACAACCTGGGGAAACTTGGAAACATCTCAAATCAGGAAATCCTCAGGTAACAAAAGCATGAGACACTGCAGCAGTTTCACATTTTAACTTTGTACATCTCTGAACTATCTGACTTCATTAAAATGAATTGTTTCTATATTCGAGAAGAACATTATAAATACATTTTAAGAATGTAAAGACAGGCTGGGAGCAGTGGCTCACACCTGTAATCCCAGCACTTTGGGAGGCCGAGGCAGGCGGATCACGAGGTTGGGAGATCAAGACCATCCTGGCTAACAGGTGAAACCTCATCTCCACTAAAAATACAAAAAATTAGCTGGGCATGGTGGCAGGCACCTGTAGTCCCAGCTACTCAGGAGGCTGAGGCAGGAGAATGGCGTAAACCGTGGAGGTGGAGTTTGCAGCAAGCCGAGATCGCACCACTGCACTCCAGGCTCCGTCTTAAAAAAAAAAAAAAGAATGTAAAGACCTCCTATTATAATTCCCTGAGAGGGAGCAATATTAATGCTATATCAGGGTGATCAATCATTCTGCTTTGTCTAGGACTATTGGGTCCCCTAGAATGGAGGACTCTTGGTGCTAAATCTGGAGAAGTCTAGGCAAACTGGGATGGCTGGTCATCATAATGGTCTGAATCTAATCATGGGGAAACATCAGACACATCCAAACTGAGGGACAGTTCACAACACAACTGACCTGTAGTCTTCCAAAATGTACAAGTTATGAAAGACAAAGGAAGACTGAGGAACTGTCCAAGATTAATGGAAACTAGAGATGTGACAACTAAATACAGTGTGAGACCCTGAAAAGAACCCTGGAAGGGTGGAGGATGGGGTATAATGGTCAACTGATAAAATCTGAATATGGACTGTGTACTAAGTAAGAGTAATCTATCAATATTAAATGTCCTGCCTCAGACAAATATCCTGTGTAAAAGTCTGTTCTGAGGAAACACATACTCAAGTATTTACAGATAAAGAGGCATTACGTATGTAAATTACCCAAACTGTTCAGGAAAAAAAAAAAGAGAGAATGCAAATTACCTACCAAAACTGGTTAAACTCACATTATAAAGTCATAATAAAACACTGAACCAAAATGTAGCCCATTTAGTGAAAATGATGCCTCAGACCACAGGGCTTCAGTCCTTTCAGTTTTGAAAAGGTGGCTTCAGTCTTTATCATTAGTTTTAGCTGATAGCACCAGAGGGCTAATCTATAAAAGGTAAATTAAATATCACAGAGTAGTGCTTAACTCTGAGGGGACAAAGGACTACAGAGTTTTGACTATAGCAACAATATTTTATTCCTTAGAAAAGTAAGTGAAGCAAGTATGACAAAATGTTAAGATATGATGAGGTGGTGTAATAGGTTCAAGCTTATTTGTACGTTACTTTCTGCATTTCTCTACATACGTAAAATGTTCTTTAATATTGTATTTCATTCATTGTACTGGGCACATGTTTTCACATTTTTGTATCTCTGAAATCAAGGTGCATCTTTAGAATTGATAGCATGTCAGAGTCAGTTGGTAACATCTTTTTCTTTCTTAACTGTATATAAAATAATGGCACATCTTACAATTGACAGCCTCTTAGATACAATGAAATACGGTAATTTCTTGTTAACAGTAAATTACTACAAACATCTTTTCTCACTCCCACCACAAAAGAAAATTAAGAAAAAAATGAGCAAATATTTGGTAATATACTGACAGCAGCATTACTCTTTTCGAAGATCTCATGTGCCAGTAATTTTAGAGGGCCACAATACACTCCAGACTTTGCTGAGAAGTATTTCTGGATTGCGTGATAAGTCTTTCCACTGTTTGTGGGGCCTGAATGAAATATTATCTTCCGCTGCACGGCTCTAGCATCTGGGTACCTAAAACATGAGTAGGTAAACAGCTTAATCCATTAACCTCAAAATCCATCCTGGCAAAGGTATCAAATGAAACAAATACCAAATGAAATATCCTCTTAATATTCACAAGATCAAGTCTTTGAAAAACTGAACAATGGGTTTAATATCCACATTAAAATAATGACTGGTTTCCAAGAATGGTATTTACTAACTAGAGGACAGAAAAACCCAAATGCAAATTAATGTCTTGATATTTTTCCCATTGTACAAGTCTCTTTTTCTCGGCGGTTACTAAAAATAAATTTAAACTGCTATCAGTTCCATACTATGTTCACATCATTCCCACAGCTCTAAACACATGACTCTAAAAGCAAACATTCCTAGGCCCCTGAATTCCAACATACACAAATATAATAATGGAGTCTTCTACCTCTGGCCATAGTGGAATAACTGGCACTAGACTTGCCCTCCCACTAAAAACAAGTACAGGTGGAGCATGGTGGCTCATGCCTGTAATCCCAGCACTTTGGGAGGCCAAGGTGGGAGGATCACCTGAGGTCAGGAGTTCAAGACAAGCATGGCCAACGTGGTGAGACCCCGTATCTGCTAAAAATAAAAAAATTAGCCAGGTGTGGTAGCACACGTCTGTAATCCCAGCTACTCAGGAGGCTGAGGCAGGAGAATTACTTGAACCCAGAAGGTGGACATTGCAGTGAGCCGAGAACACACCACTGCACTCCAGCCTGGGTGACAGAGTGAGACTCTGTCTCAAAAACAAAAAACAAAAAACAAAAAAAAACAAAAAAAAAAGTACATATATGTATGTTGTGCCTTATATGTTGCAAAGAACTAAGGTGAGTATAGCCTACTAGATGTGGGCAATATCCAGCCTAGATGATTGGAAAGATACCAATTTAGGTAAACTTGGTAAAATCCAAGTCTTTTTTTTTTCCAGAAACAACTACATTTTCTCATCTATAGGTAGCTAGGGGCAACACAGTTCCATTCTAGAGGGAAACAAAAGGGAGAGCCCCACAAAACTTTGGGGTCAAGGGAGAGACTCATCTGACACTTCTTTTAGAGGTCAGGGTTTGTATATCATAATTCAAGTTAGAATAAGTGAATTAAACTGAATTTGATGGAATGTGAGTAAACCTAGAACAGCATTGAAGCACTGAAGCATTACACAACCTGAAGACTGAGAAGGATATATAATCTGAAGGATCTTTTTATTTCCCCAAGGTCTTTCGCACTGGAGACAGCATAAAAGAGTGAACAAGTGTTGGGATGAGAGAAGATGACATCAATGTGTGAGTTCAGTATAACTGGGGATAAACTAGAAGTACCTGTGATTTTATACTCGTCTTATTACCTGCCAGGGCTCATCTAGCCATGGCAATGTTTGCCTAGAATGGCGGTAAAAGCCTTTCTTTGTTGAATCAAATACTACTACACTATTACACTTCCACACTATTTATTTGGGGATGGGCTGGGAGTGACAGTAGCCTAGTAGTTCAGCTACCTGATTACAGCCCCATTCTTTTAGAAGCACACTTCTGCCAAGGAGTGGTTTGTACTGCTGTGTTTGGTACATTTAGTCTTTTTTCTGCTACAAGTTTTCCTTACCTGTCCTTTAGTGGAGATTTTATTCATCACAGGACAGAATAATCAAGGACAACCAAAATCCTTTTGTTAATTTCAGTACCTCAGCTATCAACATTTCTGAGGTATCATTCAATGTTCCTCTGCGTCATGAAGTGAAATTCTTGTTTTATGGGTATTGGGAGTGTGGGAATGTGATAACCTAAACAACCTTTGCTCTGAAATTCCATTTTTCCCTCTTTCCTTGAATTGTATTGACCTATAGAGTTAATTTCTTTTGTACTTTTTCAAAGAAAATATTAAAAATCAATGGTCTCAAAAAAAAAAAAGTACAAAGCAGGGCAAAATACATGCAGTAAATGTGTGGGGACATGGGCCATAGGCAGTGCAGGACTGCAATTCTTGAAAAGAATAGAACACTTGGGATGAGCCATACTGCACCCAGTAAGGCATAAGGAGGTAGAACCCAAGCAGAATATGACAGTCTCACTGAAGCGAGCAGCAGAGATCAAGTTCGGAGCAGCTAAAATGTGAAGACCAGAGTGTGGAAGAGAAGGGTGCATAGAAGGACAGCCCAGAAGTCTGTGTGTGGGTTCCCTGTGAGTTACTGGCCAAGGGCTGGGCTAACCATGTACAAGGTAAGAATCGGCAGGGTCTAGGAATGAGCAGCCTACCAAGGGTTTGAGTGGAAAGTCTCAAAGATGTCTCAAGTGCTAGGGGATGTTGCAGTTCCAGCCATGGTGGAAAGAACTCATTAACACCCAGGCACTCAGCTAAAACACCAGGAAGGCCATAGCTTAGACTTAAGGACAACATCGTTAAGTCACGGCTATTCTAGATCTGCCCTAATAAAACCTAAACCCACACTCAATGTGCATCAAGGTGAGATACCAGTTAATTGCCTAACAGAGTTAATTGCCTCTTTTTATTTTAGGAAAACAACCTAATCCAGACTCCTTATAATTTATTATCTAGAATACAATAAAAAAATAATAATGACCATGAATCATCCAAGATTAGAAACTGAAAATTTCAAATCCACAAATGGAGAAACTAACCAGTTAGGTGGTATTCTTAAGTCACTGATTTTACGTAGATCATCCTTACAGTCCAACACAGGAAATATTTGTTTGGCATGTCTCAAGAAAAATGGAAATAAATCATCCACATGAGCTGGAAAATAAAATACTGTATTAACATGTGCAATCTACATAAAATTCATAACTAAATTTAGTGAAATCTTTTTTCTTAGTAAGCTAAGGTGCGGGGGCATTGCCAGGATAAAAAGAAAAGTCCTCTCCAGGCGCAGTAGCTCACGTCAACAATCCCAGCACTTTGGAGAGCCGACCTGGAAGGATGGCTTGAGCCCAGGAGGTTGAGGCTACACACTGAGCTGAGACTGAGCCACTGCACTCCAGCCTGGGTGACAGAGCGAGACCCTGTCTCAAAAAAAAAAAAAAAAAAAAAAAAGGAAAAAAAGAAAACAAAAATAGAAAAGTCCTGAAGTTACGGGCTTTATCCTTTTCTGGGATCCTGTTTTGTCTTAATTTTTCCTTTTAATTTCATTTATATTTTCAGGAAAACAGGAAATTGGCTAGCAACCACCATGTTCTACTCTTTTAGTACAAACAGGCAAAGATTAGCATTGGCAAAAGTTAAATTAAAAATAAAGAACCTAGACATGTACATTACAGAGATGAAGGTACAAACATTTTTTAAACTTCGAAAACCACAGACAGGCAAAACATGTGTTTGTTCCTCAGCAAGAATTCTCCACATCTTAGTGGCTCTGAGAGGAGGCTGGGGCATGTCCCATTCTGCGTTGTATCCTCAGTGCTGGGCACAAGATACAGGTCTAAGAGTCAAATACATAACCAAAACCAAATTGCCTGTGGGAATAAAATGATGATATTCTGATTTTTTTTTCTTTTATAGCAAGAACTTTGTCCTGATATGAGGAAGAAGGAAGCCAGCGGCAGAAACAGACAGAATCTGCTATGCATTAATTCTAACTTATATAAGAGCTTTATTTCACTGGGCCCCAGTCTTCCTCCAGTCTAAGACATATGGGTGATGTAATAACTAGCTCAGGGACCCACCATAAAAGCAAACAACCTAGAAGTCATCCTGTCAAAGCACTGAGTTATTTACAGAGGATGTTACCAGACCCATTCTAAACCAAATAAGCCCTTCTAGAGAAATGAACATGAAGTATGAGAAGAAATAGAAGGTATGTTCAATAGGATTTTAAAAAGTCTCTAAACACTTGCCTGCACCGAAGCAAATATCATTCAAAACAATGTGAATGTCCACATCTAGGGAATGAGACTGCATAATATAATTTCTAAAGCTTATGAAAGCTTGGTGGAAGAGACGAGCTGTAGAAACACAAAATGAAAAGATCTAAGGCTTAGTTCTCATTTTAAAAAGCACACAGAAACACCACACCAAACTCACCAGAGAGTCTTTTTTTTCCTTTTTTTTTTTTTTTGGTATTACAGCTGGTTTATTACGATCTGGGCTAAAACTGAGCTAAAACTGAAGTCCTAGCACAGCATGAAGGAAGGCCGCACCTGCAGCTCTTCTGCTGTGCAGTATGGCTCACCAGGTGAGCCTTGCCAGTCTCCCACCCAGCCAGAAGCAAAGGGCAGGGACGTGTCTCCAGACGACAACTATGTACTTATTTCCAGGTCACACAAGGGGTCGCACAATCCTGACCAAGCTGTACTGTAAGAGGTAATAAAATATCTCTATGAAGATGTTTTGGGCCTTACCATCAAGTCCATAATCAGCACCCAGTTTCTGAACTTCTTTCCTCTTGTAAAACTTGTCTAAGACCTTCTTTACTTCATCTAGAAGAGAGATGTCAAAATTTAACATGTTTCCTTATCTTAGATAAATGCTGAAAAAAAGGCAAAAGAAGCTTGAAGCAGTAACACTAAAGGCAGCAATTTAATGAGTGTTGCAAGAACTAGAAGGTTTCAGTTGATCCTTCTTTATGAATTGATATGCGATGGGAGTGTTAAGAAAAATGATCAAGTCAAACAATGCAACACCCTGTTATACCTCAGAGGAATGAGCAATGCACTCTGGGATCAGAGGCAGCCTCAAGCCTTCACCAGGCCATTTATACGTAGAGAGCCACAGTGTTATTCACTTATCACCATTCTGCACATCCCAACAGTGAGCAGCTAAAACACATCCAGAAAGACAACCAATATAGCAAGGACCAGATCCTCATGCTTAAGGAAGCCAGGCTGATCTTAAGTTTGAGGATGATGATTTCAGGGACAAAAGATTACACTTGTTCTGTGCTACATGGCAAAACTAAAGTCAGTGGGAGCAGATTTCAGTGGAATTTATACAAGAACTTCCTAACAATTAGAACAGTGAAAAATGAGAGCTTCTTGACAATTGAATTACTCAAGCAAGGGTTAGATGACTGTCATGGGTGACAGCAGAGAAATGTCTATGCTATTGGGAGATAACATGCCACTATGAATCAATAATCCTACAGGTAAAAATATTTTAAACTAATCAAGCTGAGACTGTATTATGGTTGTATATGTTAAAATACTACAGCATTATTCAATAAACATTTTACTGACTCAGCCACACACTATGTATTTCTAGGAGGAGAAGCCACAATGAGGACACAGCCTTTACCCACGAAATTCAGAAAGGCCAAGTGGCCTGCATTTTTACCTTCCACAAATGTGCCAACCACATTTTCACACAGTCCAATACACACAACATTCATTGAAGAAATCAAGCCTGAACAGAGCATCCCACTAACAAAACTGACAGAATGAGGAAATTTCAGAATCACTGGTTTAGCCACTAGATCTGCCCACAATTAACTATGAGATACACATACACACACAGAGTGTGTGTGTGTGTGTGTGTGTGTGTGTATTTATATTTCAGACCACAGGCAGATTTCTGGGTCTCTGTTACTTTGTGCTGAGTAGAACAACAGTTTCTTTTTTTTTTTTTTTTTTGGAGATGGAGTTTCACTCTTGTTGCCCAGGCTGGAGTGCAATGGCGCGATCTCGGCTCACTGCTACCTCCACCTCCTGGGCTCAAGAGATTCTCCTGCCTCAGCCTCCCAAGTAGCTGGGATTACAGGCATGCATCACCATGCACCATGCCCGAATAATTTTGTACTTTTAGTAGGGACAGGGTTTCTCCATGTTGGTCAGGCTGGTCTCAAACTCCTGACCTCAGGTGATCTACCAGCCTCAGTCTCCCAAAGTGCTGGGATTACAGGCATGAGTTACTGCGCCTGGCCAACAGTTTCTTGGTATCAAGGGTAGAAAAATCAATGACAAACAAAAGATTGGAAAAAAGCAAGTGCAATTGCTTGGGAAAATTCTGCTGACCTATAAACTCGATACAAACTAAAGACAGATCACATTTATTTAGAATTAATCTATTTTCTGTGACTAATACTACCATGTTATATAAGATTCATGCTGCTTTACTCAAATTAAAATGCTTCCAAAATATGAAATTTCCCATTATGTAAAGTAAAAGAAACCAGTTACAAAAGACCACATACTATATGACGCTATTAATACGAAATATACACAACAGGCAAATCAACAGACAGAATGTGGATTAGTGGTTATCTGGGGCTAAAAAAAAAAAGATACTGGGGACTGGGGGACTAGAGTGACTTGCTAATAGATATCAGGCTTCTTTTCATGGTGATAAAAATGTTCTAAAATAAAATTATGGTGATGATTGTACAATCCTGCAAATATACTACCAATGAATTATACACTTTTAAAGGGTGAATTTCTGGTATGTAAATTAAAATTGTATCTTTCTTTTTTTATTTGAGACAGGGTCTCACTCTTGTCACCCAGGCTGGAGTGTGGTGGTGCAATCTCAGCTCACTGCAACCTCTACTACTACCCAGGCTCAAGCCACCTTCCCACCTCAGCCTCCCAAGTAGCCGAAACTACAGGCGCACACCATCATGCCTGGCTAACTTCTGTATTTTTTGTAGAGATGGAGTTTCGCCATGTTGCCCAAGCTCGTCTAACTCCTGGGCTCAAGCGATCCACCCTCCTGGGCCTCCCAAAGTGCTGGGATTGCAGGCATGAGACGCTGCGCCCAGCCTAGTCTTTTTAAAAGAACATTCTGACTGCAGGTAGAGAATTGAATGGAGGGATCAAAGGCATATGAGGAGACACATAAGGGGCTATATGTGCAGTCCAGTCAAAAGATGGAAGCTGGCAATTTAGACTAAGCTGGTTGCAGTGGAGAATGAGGGAAATGAATGAATTCAATATTTATGAGGTAGAATCAACAAGATTCATCAACTGGGCTTTCTCTGATTGTTAGATGTAGGGGTGAGGGATGGACGACGACCAGGTTTGACCTGAGCACCCAGAGAAGCAGGCTGGAAGGAGGAGCAGGTCTACCAGGAGGAAGGTAAGTTGTCTTGACATGCTAAGGTGAGGTGTGTGTAAGAAAGACAAGTGGAGACACCTGGTAGGCAGCGAGATATTCGTCCAGGGCGAAGGAGAGAGGTCCAGGGTAGAGACAAAGATCTGAGAGGAATACTGAATTAGTGAGGGAGAGAGCGAGAATGAGACACCCCATAGAGAACACAGAATAAAGCAGCAACGTGACGCAGGACAAAGCCTTTAAGTACTTCAACTTTTTGGGCTATGAGTAGGCAAAAGAGATTGAGAAGTGACAGCTTCTTGTCCCGATTGCTAAGCTAAGTGGAAATCTGACACCTTAACCACATGGCTATATCAGAGTGTAGTAATTTAGCATCTTCTGTAGCCCCTCCTGCCATGCTGAAAAATCATTCTAGTAAATTCAACATCTGGACCAATACCAGTCAAAGGAGATGAAAAATCACCTGGCACACAGACCCAATGAAGTAGCTAAGGATTCTCCACCAGAAGAAAATCTAGTGCTGACAAACTTATGTCTTTATTCCATCTTCTTACAGGAAGCAGCAAAGACATTTACACTTTCAGGTAAATTGGAATAGCTGCAGAAAATAAGAATTTATCAATATTTGAATACAATAAGGCAAATTATCTCATCCAAATTACCTTATGCCTTCAAATAATATAAAACAAATGGAAAATTGTTCTTTAATGGGTAAACTATTGTTTGAGTTTCAACTCTGCAAGATGAAAAAGTTCTCATCTATTTCGCAACAATGTCAATATACTTAACACACTAGTGAACTGTGTGCTTAAAAATATTTAAGACTGGCTGGGTGCAGTAGCTCAGGTCTGTAATCTCAGTGCTTTGGGAGGCCATGGCAGGAGGATCCCTGGAGCCCAGGAGTTTGAGACCAGCCTGGGCAACATAGCAAGACCCCATCTCTACAAAAAATTTAAAAATTATCCAGGCATGATGGTGCATGCCTGTAATCCTAGCTACTTAGAAGGCTGAGCCAGAAGGATTGCTTGAGCCTGGGAGTTGGAGGTTACAGTGAGCTATGATCATACCACTACACTCCAGCTTGGGTACAGAGCAAGACCCTGTCTCTAAAAAAACAAAGTATGGCTGGGTGCGGTGGCTCAAGCCTGCAATCCCAGCACTTTGGGAGGCCGAGACGGGCGGACCATGAGGTCAGGAGATCGACACCATCCTGGCTAACACGGTGAAACCCCGTCTCTACCAAAAAATACAAAAAACTAGCCGGGCGTGGTGGTGGGCGTCTGTAGAATGGCGTAAACCCGGGAAGCGGAGCTTGCAGTGAGCCGAGATCTGGCCACTGCACTCCAGCCTGGGCGACAGAGTGAGACTCCGTCTCAAAAAAAAAAAAAAAAGTAAAATAAAATAAAAAAACAAAGTAAAGAAAAAAAAACTAAAAAAAGTTTAAAAGAGTAAATTTTATGCATTTTTACAATTTAAAAATAAATAATAGTATAATTACATTATTAAAATAATACACTCTCTGCTATGGTTTGAATGTCTTCTCCAAGACTCATATTGAAATTTAATTGCTATTTTAACAGTTGAGAGGTGGAACCTTTAAGACGTGATTAAGACAAGAGGAGTCTGCCATTTTGAGTGGATTAATGCCATTATCACAGGAGTCAGTCAGTTATTGCAGGAGTGGGCTCCTGGAAAAAAAGGGTAAGTTCAGCTCGCTTTCTCTGTCTCACAGGCTCACTTGCCCTTCCACCTTCCACCATGCAATGATGCAGCCAAAGGCCCTCATCAGATCCTGGCCTCCAGAACCATGAGTTAAATACATCTCTATTGCTTATAAGTTACTCAGTCTCAGGTATTCTGTTTTAACAGCAGGAAACAAAGACAGTCTCCCAACTCCAAGTAAAAGTGAAAGGCCTTGCTTAACACTGACTTGGAAGAACAGGTCAAAGAATAACATATACTGTGAGTTCCATCACATGTTTAGTGAAAGTACTGTACTTCTGCTCTGAAAAACATATTGTAGTCTATATTTTAGATTTACAATAGGAGGCACCAACGTCGCTTGTTGAAGTGAGACATTTCTCCTCCTATTCCTGGAGGCAATTACTGGATAGCATTTCCTCAATCTCCCAGTTTCATTTGGTCAGAGGAAACTCCCTTACCTCCCTAATCATCCCGAAACTCACCTTGAAAACATTCACATGCCTCTCTGTCAAAGAATCCATCCAAACTTAAGTTTTGCTGAGCAAAGCCCGCTGCCACTCACTGATGCTACCCTCTTCTTTTCTCTCTGGAGCCGGGGATACCCTACCTTGTTCTACCTTGCCATGTTCTACCTTGTATTACAGTTCGCTTTCCATACACGTGTCATTCTCCACGAAACCGTTACGTTTCTTAAGAGGGGATCGGGACCTGAGTCTGGTTCCTCTTGGGAACCACCACACAGCCTAACAGCGCTGTATGAGTCGGCGCCTCCTCAATGTCAAAGAATCCTAAAAGAAGTCTTTTCATTGCCACATCCCATTCCCCTTCTGGGGGCGGGAGAGAAACAAAGAAGAATGCAAGAAAGAGCGGGCGTCTACCTAACAACTCAAAAAAAGTCAAATCCTCCCAACACATGAGTGTTTAAACCATTCAGAGAGCAAGTCAGTAAAAGGGAAAAGGCCGCTTCTGGGACGAGGCGTTAAGAATTAATTAGTCACAGTCCCAAGCTGTTTAAGGGGCTCACACACCAGCGAAGGAGGCAGACATTGAGAAGCACGATGACAACACTCGATGGGACCTCGGATCCCCAGGGGAAGGGGGTGCAGCTTCCTCCCAACCAGTCTCGGCCCGGCAGACACCACTCCCTGCCGCCCTCCGTAGTTCCCGCACTCACTCTTGTCCAGAGGCCGGGTTAGCTCGGCCCCGACGTCGCCATCGGCGCTGGGGCCCTGAGGTTTCACAGTCAGGGGCACGAACAAAGACGTGTTTGGGATTTTGGAGCCACCTGAGGCAGAGGAGGACGCGGTAGCAAGGACAGAAACTTGCCCCAGAAGGCCGGGAAAGGGCCCAAAGTGGGGGCGAAGAGCAGAGCAGATGGCTGCCCGGTGGCCAGCCTGGCGCCCTGCTGGGAGCCGAGCCCACAATAGGGCACACCGGGAGAAGGACATCGAGGCCGCAAGTTCTACAGGCGCCGGCAACAGCCGCGGATACGGCGGCAGAAAGTGACGCGCACCTCCAGCGCCTGCTGTCCAGAAAGACCCGGACCGAGCAGGTAAGCTGCCCGGGAAAATGCCTGACCGTTAAGGAAAAAGCCGTGCGGTAACGGTGTTCTTTCAGGGAAGAAGAAGCTTAGCAGAGAAAACCGCTAGACATAATTCTCGTTCTGTTTCTCTGTTTTGTTGGTGATTGGGACCAGCTTTCCCTAAAGAAGGGAAAATAATCAGGCATCTTGGGATGTCATAGATGAGCGGAGGGGGCCTGCTAGTCGTGTCGCGTGATGCAAACTAGTCCTTTGGTAAGCCGGTGTCTAGAAGCACGTGGGTGAGCAGTGAGAGAATGGATGGTGGAGCAGCAACTGCGAATGCTCAGGGTTCGAGTGTGTCTTGCAGACTCAAACACTAAATAGCATTTCCCAAAAGTTTCTTGCATTGTTAACCGGCCTTTCCTGATATGGTAACGTTAGCGATAATAACTTGATATGCCCCTCAGAAACGTTGCTAAGAAATAGTGTTGCACTATTAAACCCCTTGTATTACGTAAGTACTTTTGCTTTAATGTGAGCAGTTTGTGTACATCATCCTAGCAACTATGTCACAACCACATGGCAAAAATACGTGCTCTGTACCCCAGCCATAGTTTAGTTCCATTGCATTTGTTGAATACCGTGTCCTCATGTGAGGCTGCAACATGTTAGATTCAACAAGTTTAAATTAAGCTGGGCGTGGTGGCTCACGCCTGTAATCCCAGCACTTAGGGAGGGCGAGGCCGGTGGATCATCTGAGGTCAGGAGTTCGAGACCAGCCTGGCAAATGTGATGAAATCCCGTCTCTACTAAAAATACAAAAAGTAGCCGGGCGTGGTGGTGCACGCCTGTAATCCCAGCTACTAGGGAGGCCGAGGCAGGAGAATCGTCTGAACCTGGGTGCTAGAGGTTGCAGTGAGCCGAGATTGGACCACTGCTTTCCAGCCTGGGCAACAAAGTGAGACTCCGTCTAAAAAAAAAAAAAAAAAAATTCCCAAGTTTGGCATCTTCACATCTCTTTCTACTTAAATCATTAAGATCTTACAACTTGAAGGAACGTGTTATATAATATACAATACTGTATGTCTAATAGGATTCCAGTAACAATTTGTCACCTGCCTTTGATTCACAAAATAATTTTTAAACATCAGGGATACAAGGAGACAGTCCTTTGCTTTCAAAGTTTCTGACCTGGTTTTGGTGATAGGAACAGTACATGTTAAATAATGCACTTATTACTCTAATAGGCTAATGGCAGTTCAAAGAAAGGAGCAATTTTAGAGTGGTAAGGAGATTTCTGCCAGACTTAAAAGTAAAACATATAGAGAAGTGGTAAGTAAATTCTAGTCAGAGGAAACGATGTAAGCAGAGGCTTAACTAAGGAAAAGACATACTGAAAAAATGTAAATACCAGAGTTAAGGCAGGCCTAATTCTATGGCTTACAAATAGTGATTATATTTTTGAGAAGAGAAATCATTCATTAGGAAGTACCTAGGATAGACTAGGATAAACACAAATGTGCAGGGAGGAAGATTACAACTTTAGCAACAGTTGTAGCTGAAGGTGATAGATTCCTGTATCTGAAGTATGATGGAGACCATGTATATGGAATGGAGAGATTTTACAAGACTCCTTAGATAATGTAGTGAGTGACTAAATATGCTAGAAAATGTCAATAAACAATGATGTGTCGTCAGATTTGGAAACTAGGAGAATGAAGGATAAACCAAACATTTAATAGGTAACTGAGGCAAGCACTATGTTATTCCTTTTAATCTTTTCATATGCTTGACAACCATTTAGAGGTATTATTGTCACCAGGTTAAGTAACTTTCCCCACTAAGTGGTAGATTCAGATACTAATCTAAATCTTTTTTTTTTCTTCTTTTTGAGACAGAGTCTCACTCTGTTGCCCAGGCTGAAGTGCAGTGGTGCAATCATAGCTCACTGCAACCTCCACTTCCCAGACTCAAGCAATTCTCATGCCTCAGCCTCCCGAGTAGCTGGGACTACAGGCCTGCACCACAATACCTGGCTAATTTTTATATTCTCTTTAGTTTCACCATGTTGGCCAGGCTGGTCTCAGAACTTCTGGCCTCAAGTGATCCACCGGCCTTAGCCTCCCAAAGTGCTGGGATTACAGATGTGAGCCACTATGCCCAGCCAGTCTTTCTGGTGTCAAAGCAAATAGGTGGGCTTTTTGGACAGGAGCAGCATATTGGGCCAAAATCAACAGTTGTACTAGTCTTTTTTTTTTTTTGAAAGGGTGATCCTGAACTCCTGGGCTCAAGCAATCCTGTGTCAGCCTCCTGAGTAGCTGAACTACAGGTGCATGCCATAGCACCTGGCAGTTACTAGTCTTACAGATCTAGCCCAACCCTAGTATAGTTTTACAGAAAAAAAAAAATTCTGAAAACTATTTTAACTGTAATTTTGTTTTGCACCTCCTTGCAGATAGAAAGTGCAATCTGAATTTTATGATAGCACATACAGGCTTTCCCTTTCAGGCATTCATTAAGTTTTACTATAAACATTGTAATGGGAAAATTCAATATAAAATTTTGCTTTTACAAAAAAAGAGATGTCATATCTAGACTGGTCATGTCATATTTGTAGCAGTAAGTGTAATCGGCACCTAACACATATTAGAGCCTCTATAAATATTTTATTTTGCTTGTTGAATGGATTAATGCAACAACTGTGTAACTGATATCCTCCTATACTTTGCCATAGCACCATAATGATCTTTTGAAAACACAAATCTTATAAGTTACTCCTGCTTAGAGTCCTTTAGTGATTCTGAATAAATGTTCAGATAAAGCCCATATTCCATCGTATGGCATCCAGGTTCTGTCCTAAATTGGTTCGCCCTATATGCCTCTTCCAGCTTTATTTCTACTTCCCACACCTACCATTCTATTCATGGTAGAACTGTACACCAGTTATATCATCGTTTCTCACCTCTGTACCTGTGAACACACTGGGTGCTTCTCTTACACATCATAGGTTCCAGTAGGGGCTCTATCATAGAATGAAAACTATCGTAATTGTGTCTCTGGGTCAGTGGTTCTTAAACATTAGAGTGCATCGGAATCATCAGAAAAGAATCATTAAAAACAAGATTGTTGGGCCCTATCCCTGAAGTTTCTGATTCAGTAGATCTGGAGTGGGATCTGAGAGTTTACATTTCTAAAACATTTCAGATGATGCAACTCTGCTGGTCTGAGACCACACTTTTGAGAACCACTGCTCTGATTAAAGTTCCTGCAGGATAGGGCCAAGATAACACTTAGTCCATTTTGCATTGCTATAGCAGAACACCGCAGACTGACTAATTTATAAATAAAATGAATTTATTTCTTACAGTTCTGGAGGCTGGGAAGTCCAGGATCAAGAGGCTGGCATCTGGTGATGGCCCTCTTGACATAACATGGTAGAAGGCATCACATGGCCAGAGAGCAAGACATTGTGTGTCAACTCAGGTTTCTCTTTTCTTACGAAGCCACCAGTCATTTCATGGGGGACCCACACTAAGAACTTTTATCTAATCCTAATTACCTCCCAAAGGCCTCACCTCTAATCAACCTATGAATTTGAGGATTAAGTTCCCAACACAAAAAACTTAGAGGACACATTCAAACCATAGCAAGCACTAACTGGTAGTCTGTAAATATGCTAAATCCATGCATAAATATAGAAATAAATAGAAGGGGAAAGGAAGTGGGAGAAGATAACCTAGGTGGTAGAAATAAAACAAGTTAATTTCTTCTTCACCTTTGCTTTTGCTATTAAGAAAACCTGGTGGCCGGGCGCGGTGGCTCAAGCCTGTAATCCCAGCACTTTGGGAGGCCGAGACGGGCGGATCACGAGGTCAGGAGATCGAGACCATCCTGGTTAATACGGTGAAACCCCGTCTCTACTAAAAAGTACAAAAAACTAGCCGGGCGAGGTGGCAGGCGCCTGTAGTCCCAGCTACTTGGGAGGCTGAGGCAGGAGAATGGCGTGAACCCGGGAGGCGGAGCTTGCAGTGAGCTGAGATCTGGCCACTGCACTCCAGCCTGGGCGACAGAGCGAGACTCCGTCTCAAAAAAAAGAAAAAAGAAAAAAAGAAAACCTGGTGTAGGTTTCACAAAAACACATCCTGTAGATTACTGTCTCGTATCTTGTCTACAAAATTCTGTAGTTTGAAGTTTCTAGTATTTTTCTGACATTAAGGTTATCATGATCTAGACACTAAACAATTGCTTATCCTAAGTGAACTTTTAAGATTTACTCTTGGCCAGGCACGGCAGCTCATGCCTGTAATCCCAGCACTTTGGGAGGCCAAGGCAGGCAGATCACGATGTGTCTGGAGTTTGTTCCTTCTGGTGGGTTCGTGGTCTCACTGACATCAAGAATGAAGCTGCAGACCTTCGCAGTGAGTGTTGCAGCTCTCAAAGGTGGCATGGACCCAAAGAGTGAGCAGCAGCAAGATTTACTGTGAAGAGTGAAAGAACAAAGCTACCACAGCATGGAAGGGGACCCAAGCGGGTCACTGCTGCTGGTTGGGGGTTGCCGGCCGACTTTTATTCCCTTATTTGTCCCCACCCATGTCCTGCTGATTGGTCTATTTTACAGAGCACTGACTGGTCCATTTTACAAATCTCTAGCTAGCCACAGAGAGCTGATTGGTGTGTTTTTACAGAGTGCTGATTGGTGCATTTTACAAACCTCTAGCTACTAGCTAGAGTGCTGATTGGTGTGTTTTACAATCCTGTCTACAGAGTGCTGATTGGTGTACTTTACAATCCTCTTGTAAGACAGAAGTTCTCCAAGTCCCCACCCGACCCAGAAGTACAGCTGGCTTCACCTCTCCACGCGGTCAGGAGATCGAGACCATCCTGGCTAACATGGTGAAACCACATCTCTACTAAAAATACAAAAAATTAGCCAGGCCTGGTGGGACGTGCCTGTAGTCCCAGCTACTTGGGAGGCTGAGGCAGGAGAATCGTTTGAACCCGGGAGGTAGA